CACCACAAGGGGCCTCCCCTGAAGCACACCACATAAAACTGGCAGACTAAACGCAAAAAGCGTGCTAGAAATCTGTCTAAACCGAAACTTGCCTTTTTAAAAAAATAAATAAAGTCTGCAGAATAGAAGAGAACAAGAGACTGAAGAATCACAGCAGACACCAAAAATTGTGTTTGCACTCTGTGGCTGCGGAATTCAAGGCTTTTCAACAAGATCGAACATAGCAAACATAGAAACGTTGCCAACAAACCATAGATGGACAAATGTAGAAAAAACCGCCATGCGGAGAAACTTTGAAAACTGCGAAATGTCAGCAAACGTGAGCATTTGTGTTTCCAAAACAGCAAACCAAGTTCTTGATATTTTTGCCTCAAAGATTCAATTGTGCAAAAATGTCTGTGGGTGCCGGAAGAACGAGACCATACGAGAACGCTACGGCTGGCATTTGGGTGGAAATCAGAAACCCACACTCAAACCGAGACAATCCAAACAAAAAAAAAACTTTGCAAATTCGACAGGAAAACAGATAGGAAACAAGAAAGTCAAGAATCCAAGCATTTCACACTGCAATCAAGGGAGATTGAGGTTTTCTAGAACCCGTAGATTGGGTGGGAGTAACCCGAATCTTGGTGGAGTCGAAGTTTGTCCAAAGCATGCTTTCCCAGCTTCCCGTGCGTCCACCCATTCGAAGAAACGAGCGCCGAAAAAATGGCACTGTAGGATACAAAAAGAGAGAAGAGCGGGCTTTTTCTGTTCTGCTTCGTTTTCTTTTTCTTGTGGAAGCATGTTTCAGAGCATGTTGTTTGTTTTGATATGGATCAGTGCAAGCCTTTGCAGAACTCCATTGTTTGTAGAATGGAATTTGTTTGAAGTGTGATGTACGCCTCTAGTTTTGCTGGAAAGGACGGAACGCACTTTGGACACTCAAAAAGTCCTAACCACTTCTATGAGTCTAAATTGATTTGTTGGGTTCTCTTTTTTTGTGCATTATTTTGACTACCAATAGCTGTTACAAACGCTGCAAACATCCTTCGACGCACGGCAAACACAAAGACATGAAAGAGAGCCAAAACAAATTGACTTTTGTAGACTGGTGGCCGTCTTGACTGCTGAGCGACTCCAGCCGCGTTCAAAGCCATTTGGATGGTCACTGATGTGGCTGACCATGGCGAGCATTCACAAGTAGGCTGTTTTGGGTGCATATAGCGACACTTCTGCTTGTTCTCTGTTGACCGTATTTCCTCCGCGGCTGTTTGTGTGTTTTCGTGCCTTCGCGTCTGTCTCGGTACGCGCCTTTCTTGGCCCGTTTGCTACGTGCGCGCGTGTGTCTCGGATGTGTTCTGGTATGTTTCTGAGCGTCTCTTTGCGTCTCTAGCGCATCTCCTTTGCGTGTCTACCTTTCTTCTGCGGCGTCTTCTTTGTGTCTCTTTGTGTGTCGTCTTCGTGTCTCCTTTTGTGTTTCTGGTGTGTGTCCTTTTGTTTCTTTTGCGTTTCCGTTTGCGATCTTTGTGTCTCTTTGGTGCGTGTTTTCGTGTCTGCTCTGTGTTTTCCCTGTATCTCCTTTTGTGCTTGTCCGCTGTGTGTTTTGTGTCTCTTGCGTCATCCCTTGTGTCTCCTCCGTGTTTTCTTCGTGGCTGCCTTGCGTTCTCATTTTGCGTTTCCTTTGTGTCTCCTTTTGTGTCTTCTTTGTAGCACGTTTTTGTTTTCCTTTGATTTTGCTTTCTTTGATTCCGCTTTGTCTCTCTTTTGTGTCTTCGGTGTTTCCTTCTTGCGGTCCTACAACATGCTTCACCCGTGGCAGGGTTTTCCTACCTCTGCCGGCAGGCTTCACGACACCTGACTGCCAGCATTCAATGTATGCTTGGGGCAGCTTTGCCCCGGCCAGCCAGCAGGATGGACAGTGCATTAGGGCCAGCTGCGGGCTGACTCCGAACGGCTGGCCTTGTTCTCAGTCCGTCTAGTCTTGAGTCTCCGGGGGGCTACCTTTCCGTTTGAATTCATATGCCAGGCGAGCAGCAGGTTCTACCGCTGCGAATGAACAAATTTTTGTTGAATGGGCATTACAGGTCTAGCCTTTTGCTGAAACCCTCCCATTCCTTATTTCGGTGGGTGTCAGCTCACGGAGGTGCTGAACTCGTGTTTGATGCCGCTCTCGTGCACTTTGGCGCATATGTGTGCCTTGGATTCACAGCAGACGACTTTACGCTTGTATGGTCGGGGTCACACATTCCGCAAGCTTCCTTCAAGCGTGACAAACGCATGTGGTCATGATTTTGTGGAATTGCGTGCCTGGTCAATTATTGCTATCGCTGCTGCTGCCCTGCGGCGGTGGTGCTGTTCAAGCAGTTCCCGCAGTGAGGTCTGTGAGACCTATGCGATTGGATGGTTTGCATTCAGGCTCACGGTTGACGGACATCATCAGGCATCCATGAGCTTGGAACTTGGAGATTGTCATTTTTCAGGTCCTAGCATGTTTCCTTGCATGTTTTGCCTTTTGTCAGTTATGCTTGTTGCTTCTTGTGGGCCTGTCCTGTGCAGATGCGCAACATGTGCAAAGCCTGGCTGGTGTGCTATTGTACGCTGGAAACAGGCAGATTCTCTCTCCCGTCGCCCATCCTCCGCTCCCGCTCTTTTACATTCAAAACACTTGAGACTTCGTTTGCTATTCCCTAAACCGTCAACCCTAAACCCTAAACCCTAAACCCTAATCCCTTATTTTCCACCTGTCACCACCAGACCCCCTAAACCCCTCCTTGCAGGCGCCGACTTAGGACGATGGCCTGGCACTCGTCACAGGATCCTCCCGTGGTGTTAGTGAAGCGTGAGCCACCAAGAGGTTGACATTGAACATCATTGAAACTCTGAACCTATAGACATCAGCTGCATGCACGCCAGTGAGTGTTCAAGCAAGCTCCTTAAGTCAAGAATCAGAGTCTAGTTCTCCTACATCAGTGACAGTTAAGTCGGTACGGCTCCAGTTAATTAGTAGCCGACTGTATGACCGCATCATGAGGCATGATGAGACACACGCAGTCAGTGCCAGGTTTTACGTAAGTTTGGCACGCCTCCATGGGATGGCAGATGATGATGAGGATCATTGGGTTTCGCCTGTGCGCTCAAACGCTTTCACACCACGCGAGCGAAAACCGTGGAAGCTGCTCGATATTAACCTCATCATCATCGGCAGCGGCCCCTTGGCCGAGCAGGTGCTGCGACGGCGGCTGGATGCTGGCGGGAGGGCATGCCTCCTTTGGACAAGCGTTCCACCACAGCCTCCCCTCCCGAAGCACGCATGCCATGATGAGCCTGTTTACGACGAAAAGACTTTTACATGGCAGCCACCACCGTCAAGGCACGGGCCTGAAGGTCCGGAGATTCGCCGCCTGCGGCGTCGCTTCGGCAGCGTTTGGTATGGTTTCATTCGTGCAGGTCCAGATGTGGTCGGACTTGCGGACGGCGAGCAGTATGAGCTGCTGATGGAATGTCAAAGCTGTGTTGGAGTGCGAGTGCTTGCTGGTGAGAAGGTGTCGTGGCAGTTGTCTGGTGCGGTGCTGCTTTTGGGACCATGGGAATCCACGGGCGACACCGAGGCACCGACACAGCAAAGGGGGGAAGCCTGGGCATTGACTGTTAATGTTGGTGTGGAGCAGGAAGAAGCAAAGCCAATGGTGTACTATGACGGAGGTAGCCCATTAGTCATCACTCTAGGTGTTGGCTACTTCGTGGTTGCCAACATGATTTGTTACAGTGTCATTAATGCCTACGAGCCAACAGCAGAGCCGACGCAGTTTGATTGGTGGTGGATGTTGCCACGCAGCATGACGATTACCGGACACTTTTGGTCGAATTCCGTGTCGCACGGCATGCTTGGATTTCCGCAGTCATACCGCGTTACCATTGTGTCTGCTTTGTCGGGCTTTGCTGCGTGGACTCTCTGGGAGCTTTTGTGGTTTCTGCAGAGAAACGGGTGGCGGCTACAGTACTTCATCATGACCTGTTTCGGTTTCGAGACTTGCTTGACTACTGAGTTGGTGCTGAGCTTCTTGTGGCACCGCAGAGCTCAAGTTTTGCCAAGCCACGGTGGTAGAGCACGGGACCTCAAAAAGCAGGTGATATGGACTGCTTTTATGTATTTGGAGCAGATTTTCTTGCTTTTTGCACAGTGGGTCATCGTCGTGGTCTATATATACGTAGACAGTGTCAGCACCATTCTTGCAGGGTTCTTCCTCAGCTTTGGCACTGCCGGTTCAGAGCTGCTGGGTATAGCCTTCATGGAGTCTTTTTACACGAAGTTGGTGTGGCCACGTGCCGGCAATGAGGCTGCGGTTGTATGGGGCGACCAGAGCTCTAATGCAACCGGGCTTCTCGGCTTGGCTCATGCCTTTGCTGAAGGCTCACGGCTTGTAAGCCTCCTTTGTGTCGCTGCGCGCAGTCCAACTTGGCATTGGCAGTGGTTTGCCAATGTGATATTGATGCTAATCACCAACCTTGCTGTTAGACACGGGTACCATGTCAGCGCATGCGTTCGTGTGCTGCCGCGGGTAGGCCGTCGGTTGAAGCCCAGCTGTTTCGCAATACTTCATCGACACGGGCGACTCATGTGCGGCTACTACCGCTTCCTTGCCATTGGTTCCTATGTTCTCTGGCGTATCCTTTGGCTTGGTGCAACGCCACTCTTCAACACACATACCCTGGTGCTCTTTGCTTGTGTCCTGGTGGCGGAGGTCTTGGAGGACCTTGTGGTGCTGCGCCGCTGGCTGCCGCTGGATCTCTGGCGTCGCCAGCTGAGGTACGACTTCAAGCCACTTGATCCATTTCATCCACGACAGGGGATGTGCAAGGACCATCGCGGTGTCCACGTGGAACTCCCACCCCTCCGCCTGCACGGGGCACGTGTGCTTTCTGGGCCACTCAACGCGACGGCGATGCAAATCACCTGCAGCACGGTTTTGGTCTTGATGTGGTTGCCCCTAGGTGTGGGCTTTAATTTGGGCGTTTGCCCTGAGCCAATCTTGGAAGGCCAGCGACTGGGCGATGCATTTTGGTGGTCGCTGCCATGGCAATGCTGATATTCTTAAATCAGTGCTCTTCCCATTTTTCTTGGAAGCAATACGTAGACCACGCATTGTGGGAGCGCTGTGTTTTTTTGATGTCTCACCTTTTCGACAAGGAGTCAGGAGTACACCTGTTTTAATGTGCCACTGGAAGGAGAAGTGCCAGACTTCTGGAAGGAGAAGTGCTAGAGAGAAGCCAAGATGGTTTAACTTTGTGCGCCAAAGGTGCTTTGTTGAGTTGACGAGATTGTCCGATCGCTGCTAATTGTTCAGAAGAAGCGAGATCATGCCAGAAAGCGGCTTGGCCGTGACTTAGAACAGAAGGTATTAGGGATCTTCAGTAGGGCCTGTGCTCAGGATTTGGGGTTTTGAGGTTTGGGGTGTACGGCTTAGGGCGTGAGGCTTGGGGTTGAGGGCAGGGTCCCTGGTTCCCTCCTTCCAGAAACTATGTCTGGCCGGAACCTTCCAGAAACTGTGTCTGGCCGGAAGACTTAAACCGTAAACCCCCTTAAACCCTCAAACCCTCGACCAAAATCCGGACAAGAATGAACATTACGACAGTGTCAACAATACGACGTTTGCATGCGGTATTGTTACGGGGACCACACATGTGTTTCAATACGAGGCATTCCTTGCATCATACCGTGTGCATTTTTTACCTTGAGCTTGGTGAATGTAGGGTATGAAAGAATGAACTACTACTGTAACTACCATTACTACATTCCTTCATTCCCTACTAACCCGAAACCCTAAACCCTAAACCCTAAACTAACTAACCTTGTTGTCATCACAGCGAGGTCCTCAGCGAGGCTCGCGTCCTGCCCAAAATGCCCGTTCCCGTCAGATTCGGGAAGGCCGCCAATTTCCTTCCCTTTCGCTGTGCCTCGCGACAAGGGCAGCTGGAAGCAGCACTTGAGCAGTTACGCCCCTGCGGGCACCGAGGCACAGAGGGCGTGGCCTTGGGTTGGGTTGAGCACTGTTGAGGATTGCGTTGCATAAGCTTGGGTAGTTGGTGTTTGTCTTGGTATGTCACCGGTTCTTTGATGAGACTTTCTGAGTGATTCGGGTGCTACACTACACGCCTTTGCACCCACTGCTGGAATCCTTGAAGCCAGCAGAAGCCAGCAGAAGTCAGCATTCAGTTTTCAGTTTTCACCAACAGTATGCCTCAATGCGTTCGGGAAAGCCGTGGAAGATCACATATAGCAAATGTCTAAGCGAATTGAGTCAGGGACCCAAGGACCCGGGCAGCCTCTCTGTGGTACTTCATAGACAGAGTCTGGAGGTACAGTACTCTGGAAGCCACATCGTGACATGCTCCAACAATCCTCAATGGACAGCCTTTCTTAAATACCCTCAACATTGCACTGCGCCTCCCAGTGTATGGGCTGTGGAGCCAGCAGTGAGAGCGAGTATGCCGGGCGCTGGGGGGGACAAGGATTCTGGATCTATGAGAGTTGGATGCTCTTGTGCCTTTCTGATATGCTTTTTCAAGTCTGCAGTCCGTTGGCAGGATCTCAAGTTTTCAGTCTTCCAATGATAGAGGGGAGATGCCGGAGCAGGTTTCGCCAACAGATTTTCTGCAGCAGTCCGTGGAAGACGTGGAAGATCACATATGAAAAAGGTGTTCGAACCCACAAGAACCTTTGACTCTTGACAGCCCAACAGCCCTAAACAACCCGAACTGCTTGCAACCCTCGAAGTTAATCAAAAAACCCGAGGCGGGGCCCGCGGCTCGTGGACCGGCTTTGACCGGCTGCGACAAGAGCCGAGCTTGCAAGGGATGAAAAAAAAGCTTCCTTGGAAGGCTGGAGGGCGCTACCAGAGGGCCAAGGGCTTTGGGCTTCACAGAGGTATTCGATAATCCGTGATCTTCTTTTGTTGTGATCCATTTGGAGCTGCTGTTCCTGTTCAGGTCCTCGGAGTTTTTTTCTGTCATTGAGGTTTCGTCGGCTCAGGATCCGAAGCCGCAGCAGCAGGGCAAAAAGGTCCCAGAGCTGTTGAGGCTGCAGGGGTTCCGTTCCCGTGGAGGGTCTGGAGCCTTCGTGGTGAAGGGCCGTGTGGACCTTCCGGGCTTCAGAAGATTCAGGGCTCAGAGCACGAAAGTAGTCAAAATTTTGGTGTAAAGCTCGAGACTTCGAGGCTCGAATCCTCCTTGCGGAGAGCCTCAAGAAGCCTGAAAGAACTTGTCTATCAGATTGCTGTGCTGTAAACACGGAAAGTGCCATCATCCGGTTGTGAGAGTCTCGGGACCTCAACTTGTGTTGTGCGCGGTTGAGGCCTAACAGATCTCGACCAGCAACTGCTACCCTCCAACATTCATCCTTGTCTCAGTGTTCTCTCACCTGGGCGTGGAGCTGCTACAGAGAGGCTTTTTTTCTTAGTTTCGCAGATGTCTTTGGATCACTGCTATGGGGTCGGCATCAGGAGCACTGTGACCTTCTGGCTCGTCGCAGGGGACAAACAGCGACCTGGTGGCTGTTTCGGCTCGCAGTGCCCCATGCCCATCCATGGCTGACAATCGCTGCCATCAAATACTTGATGGCTGGCAACCGTTTGAACAGAAGCCATCGTGGCATGTGATGAAGTCACGCTACAGCAAGTATTAGCGTCAGGGGCGGGGCCATTTTTCCTTTCTCCTGGCCTCCCAACCACAGAGAGACACAAGGCCAGACATGCAACCGGCTCGCTCTCCCATCTGTGAAGCTGTTTTCCAACGCTGCGAGCCGACTTCAGGACATGTCTTCTTTTGAACTCAGAAAACGCTTCCGAACCTCAAAATTCCGGCGGGCCGGTGCGCAGGCCTTGGCCACAGCTGCCGGGCCTGGGGCTTGCGTTCATCGAGCAGATGCCACCTGAGCTTTCGACAAAACCTCGACTTCATGACAAGGTCCGCGGCAATATTCCAAACTGTTCCTGTGACGCTCCCCGAAGTCTTCGTGAACGGGCGTGGAAGCTCGCAGTGGTGCGCATACATTTAGGCGTACACGCAGTGAATCCAAGTGGGATTGTCGGGGGTTCGGCTGAGCGGGCGCTTCATACCGAATCTCCAGGAAAAACCCCTTTGCAAGTTCACCGA